TTAACAATTTCATAGTTTTAAATAACTTTTTTCTCATTACAAAAGTAACATAAATTTATTATAGATGATTTGGAAAACCATAAAAAGGCCCAGAGAGAACATATTTTTTTTTAGGAGCAATCTGTATCTATTTTTCCCGAGATGTTATTATTAGGTAGTTGTACAAAGGTATTATAATTCCATAAGTCAGATTATGAATACATTGTTTCTTGGGGACAATGTTCACCACTTCCTTCATTCTTCCCCATTTTCCACCTCGGGTCCCTACCTACAAGTTACATAGTTCATTTTTAATATTGTGTATATTGAACACAATGGATCGACCATTTTAGCTTCTACATTTAAGTGAGATAGTGTGGTACCTGTCTTTAGGCACCTGATTTATTTAACTTTGTGCAGAGATCTCTAGTTCCATACATGATCTCACAAATAAAAGGATTTCCTTCTTTTTATAGGCCAAACTTTTCATTTTGTATGTGTAAGCTTTTTTTGTTGTTGTTGGTTGTGGGGCTTGAACGCTGGGCATGGGTGCTGTCCCTTAGCTCTTCAGCTCAAGCTGAGACCTCTATCACTTGAGCCATAGCACCACTTCCAGTTTTCTGGTGGTTAACTGGTGATAAGAGTCTCACGTACTCTCCTGCCTGGGCTGGCTTTGAACTGTGATCCTCAGATCTCAGCCTCCTGAGTAGCTAGGATTACAGTTACTGGCGCCTAGCTTGTACGCCTTTGCTTTATGCATTTATCAGTTGATAGTTACTTTGTTTGTTTTGATTTTGGCTATTGTGAACAGTACTGCAATGCACATGGAAGAGCAGATGTTTCTTTGATGTACTGGTTTCATTTTTCTTTGGATATATACAACTTTGTGGGTTTGCTGGATAATGTGGTAACTCTATTTTTTAATTTTCTGAGGAAACTCCACACCATTTTCCACAATAGCTGCCCTAGTTTATATTCCCACCAACAGTGTGCAAAGGTTCATTTTTCTCCAAGCCTTTGCCACATCTTGTTATATTTAGATTTCTTTGATAATAGCCATTCTTTTATTTATTTATTTATTTTTTGGTTGGTCGTGGGGCTTGAACTCTGGGCCTGAGTGCTGTTCCTGAGCTCTTCAGCTCAAGGAAAGCACTCTACCACTTGAGCCACAGAGCCACTTCTGGTTTTCTGAGTGGTTTATTGGAGATAAGAGTCTCATGGACTTTCCTGCCTGGTCTGGCTTTGAACCACGATCCTCAGATCTCAGTCTCCTGAGTAGCTAGGATCACAGGCATGAGCCACCAGTGCCTGGCTGATAATAGCCATTGTTTTGTTGTTGTTGTTGGTGGTGGTGGTGGTTGTGGGGCAGAACTCTGGGCCTGGGCGCTGTCCCTCAGCATTTCAGCTCAAGGCTAGTGCTCTACCACTTGAGCCACAGCACCACTTCCAGGTTTTTCTGCTTATGCAGTGCTGAGGAATCGAACCCAGGGCCTCATGAATGCAAGGCAAGCACTCTACCACTGTGCCACCTTCCCAGCCCCATAATAGCCACTCTTAATAGGGGAGATGGTATCTTGTTGTGGTTTTGATTTGCAATTTCCAAATAGACATTTTGGACATTGTTGGACATTGGCCATTTGATGTCTCCTTTTTATTCTAAAATTTACTTTTTTGTTATCATAGAGTGATGTATAGAGAGGTTACATTTACGTAAGTCAGGTAATGAGTCCTTTCCTTTTGTACGGTGTCATCTGTTCCCTCATTCACACCCAGTCCCTCCCTGTCATCTCCACCCACCACTTCACTTACATGAATGTCCAGTGCACTCCACTGCTACACTTTTTCACCCTTTTTCCTTGAGCAAAGATAAAATATTAAGCACTCAAACTCAAAGGCCTTTTTAATCATCCTACATCACCTTTGTGGGCCAAATTTATATTTTAAAGATCTCTCTCTCCTTCTCTCTCTCTCTGATAGCAACAATCATTTAGAAAAATTGTCCTGAATTATCTTCTATTGTTAAAGGGTATTTCCTTGCATCCTTACCAACATTTTCTTTTTTCTTCTCCTTTGAGGATTTGAACATAGATTCTGGAGCTTGTTAGGAAGGCACTCTACAACTGGAACCATGCTCCCATGCCTCTGTTTTTTTCCTGTTGTTTTTCAGGTAAAATCACTCATTGTTGCTTGGGGTTGGCCTCAGACCTTACTAATCCTTTCTTCTTGTGTAGCTAGGATCACAGGTGAGCATCATAAGGCATACTTGGGATCACAGATGCTAAGCACTGTGTTCAGCTTATTCAGATGGAGTCTCTGACATTTTGCTCAGGCTGGTGGTGAATCTTGATTTTCCTGATCTCCAAATCCCAAGTAGCTGGGATTATATGCATAAACCACTGCGCCTCCAATATTCTTTCTTTCTTTTTTGTTGTTGTTTATGGGTCTTGAACTCTGGGCCTGGGTGCTGTCCCTACGCTCATTAGCTCAAGGTGAGCACTCTACCACTTAAGCTCTCTGGTGGTTAATTGGAGATAAGAGTCTCATGGACTTTCCTGCCCTGGCTGGCTTAGAACCATGATCCTCAGATCTCAGCCTCCTGAGTAGCTAGGATTACAGGTGTGTGCCACCAGTGCCCGGCTTCCAATATTATTTCTTACAACAAAGTGAACTTAATTCATTTAAATATGTACCTTTTTAACTCTGAGCCTATTAGTTTTACCTCTTAACAGAATCAGTTAAGTTTAACTAGAGAGTGATAGTGGTGAGATAGCTGAACAAAAAGGAAGGCCCATGGGAATTGGTTAGCGTTCTTTACAAATAAAACTAAAATATGGTTTCTAAAAGTTGAGCCCACAACTTTTCTGATACAATGGGGAATCTCTGAGTTAGGGGTGAGGAATCTCCAGCCCTTGGTCATATGTATAGCAAAATCATTTGATAGATGACCAGACAGTTATGTATGTTTCTGGTCAGCTGCCTGGACCTGTATTGATAATGTTATAAATATCCAAATGGCCCTTGACAAACAAGATTCCCCACCTCTGAGAGTTAAAAGATATTACACACACACACAGCTCCCCCTTCGCCTGGGGAGAAAGGCCCAGAGGGTCTCTTCCTTACTCTCAATTCTCAGAGTAACTATCACAATTCAGTTCAATCCTGTTAAAGACCCCTAATGTGTAGAAGACCAATTCTTTTCAGGCCATGTGGCTTTAGGTCCTATTCACCACTTCTGGTCCTATTTTCCCTTTAAGAAAGCAACAATTATAAGGCTGTCCAATTTTACCTACTTGAAGCTTTTATTATGGAATTAAATCAAATCAAGCATTTGAATTTATTTTATAAACTTTGACTTCTACAAAGAAGGATGGCAGGGCAATTAGATTCAAAATTTGGCAAGTCAAAATTGAGCACAATATAAATTCCTTAAATTTGCTAATGAGTGCAGGAAGGTGTTCACACCTTTGAGGCTCATGAGAATGACTATCTGAAGGTGAGTTGGGGCAAATATGCTAATTCTGTGGAACTGTTGCCCCTAACAGTATTACTTCTTGGCCAACTGCACAACTTGTATCTAAGATGGAGTGTGGTGCAACTTTGTTATGCTTCTACAATTGTATACTGGTGTTAAGAAACCTTTCTGGTTTTTTTTTTTTTTTTTTGGTCTAATGGTGTAACTCAGTTGGCTTAAAACTTCATCCACTGTTCTCATCTGACAAACACTTTCAAAGTTTACTATGCTTACGACATTCTGGGAGGTTATACTTGTTTTGGGGTGTGGGGAGACATACCAGGCAAACACAGCCTGAGCACTGAGTGGCGAGGCAGTTGCTTTGATCATCTTCTAGAGATTTCAGCAAATGTTCAGAAAAATTATGTAAAGTTACATATTGTTACAAATACCAGCTACGATGCTTTATCTAATATGGGTTAAGGTACTTCTCACGTACTTGGGATTAACGCCACTGCTTTTTAATTCCAGCTAATGTTTTAAACCATTGTATTAATTTTGAAGACTAATACGAACATACGGAAATTTTCAAAAAAGGCAAAAGCAAGTCTCTCTTCTATTCAGAACTCCCTTCCTCCACTCCACATTTTTTTTGTTTCCTTCTCTGTTCTTAATCAGAGTTTAGTATCAGTAGGTCTGTCTTTTAAAAGTACTTATTGTTCCAGGTCCCTTGGGTCTATAAGTTAAATGTTAAATAAATAACAGCCTATCTGTTCCACCTCAAAAAGTAAGTCCACGACGTTTCCAAAATTCCACTGCAAAAAAGTGGTGCAAAAGAGACGTCTAGCCCTAACTTGGTCCAACATTTCGATCAGCAGAGGGGCAGATGAAGACAAGCTACATTGAATATACCGTACCAGATTTAGAACTCCTGAAGGGTAGAACAGGAACGCCAGCACTTTCAGGGGCTAAAGGTCCCATCTAGGATGTAAAGTTCACCCGCAACTCACAAAAGAACCCCCGCACCCCAACCCCAGGTCCCAGGCTGCCTCGGAGCTCTAAACGGGAACGGGGCGGGGAGAACTAGGGGGCGTCACGTGACTCGAGCTCGGCCCTCCCCCTTGCCCCAGCAGGACCCGCCCACCGGAGGCCCCACCAATCCTGAGGGGCATCAAATTTGGTCCGTCCGGGGGAGGGGTGGTATTTTGCCGTGGAAGCCCTCCGTATTTACTACAAGTTGGGCTCGCTGGCCTCGGACACTCCCCTGATCCCCTCCGCAGCACCAGTCTCGACAAGCGGGAGGGGCAGTGGAGAGCACAGCCAGACCACGTGCAAGGTGACGCAGCGCGGCCGCACCTCCGACGCCCGCGGAGGAGCTTGAGAAAACAAGGCGTGGGCGGAGGGACGCAGTCCCCAGCACGCTTGCGCGCTCGCGCCCTCGCCCTCCCACCCCTTACAGATCCACGCGACGCGGCGTGGTGACGCTCGCGCGGCCCGAGGAGGGGCGGGGCTGGGCCCGGGGCGGGCCTCCGCGCTCCTCCCGCCTCTCTCGGTCCAGACTCGGCCTCCCTCGCCCTCCCCCACCCCGGGCCCCGTCAGCGCGGGGGTGCCTTCGTCGCGCAGCGTCGCGTCGGCCCGGTGCGGCCGGGCCAGCGGGCAGATGCCCCGAGCTGCCGCTGTCGCCGCCGCCGACTTGGCCGGTGGCGGTGTGGGAGGCGGACGCCCCACCCGGGGCCGCTGAGTGTGACCGGCGGGGCCGGGGGCCGCGGGGCGCCCCGGCGTTGGCGGCTGCGTGCGGACCATGTATTTCCTGAGCGGCTGGCCCAAGAGGCTGCTCTGCGCGCCGGGGAGCCCGGCCGAGGCGCCTTTCCACATCCAGTCGGACCCGCAGAGGGCTTTCTTCGCCGTGCTGGCCCCGGCCCGCCTCAGCATCTGGTACAGCCGAGTAAGTAGAGCCGCCGCCGCCTTCGGTTGCCTTCTCCCCAGCGTCCTGGCACCGGCTCAGCCGGGGCCCGGGACCCCCCGCTCCCCGTGCCCTCCGAGGCCGAAAAAGTCGCTGCTCTCCTTGGACTCGCGGCGCCTCCCGGCGTCGGACCGACCGCCGCGCCGAGCCCGGTGCAGACCCCGCGCGCTCCCTCCACCGAGCCCAGACTTGCCCTCCTTCCCTCCCTCCCTCCCTCCCTCCCTCCCTCGCTCGCTCCCTCCCTCCCGCTCGCCCGCCCGCCTTCCTCCCCTCATCCTGCGGGAGCAAATTTGTTTGAACTTTCTTCTGTTAGAAATCTGGCCGCCGGGGTGTCCCAGCTCCCCCTAGCTTTCAGTTTAAAGGTCGACGTGCTGGAGTTAGGGAAAGCCCTCATTGGGCTTTCCCCAGTGGCAGACTTCACAGGCCGGTGGTAACATTGCTAGAAACTCAACAGTCAGAGATCTTTACTATTATTATTATTATTATTGTTATTATTTCCCTAAAGGTCGAACTATTGAGCTCTCCGCCTGACTCCCCAGCGTCTCTTTTCTCCACTTGTAGGCTAGCCCCTTTTTCTGCTGCACTTGGACTGTTGGGAATTAGCGGAGAGTTCAGGAGGAACGGAAGTAAAAACTCAAATCTGTCCGTCCTACTCTCAGTGACACCACCTGGATGGAAAGAATAAGACTTGGAGGGCGCTTTGGACCCAATGCTGGTTTTGCTTTGAGTCCTGAAGATCTTTCCTTCTTGTAGCTAATTACTCGAAATAACTCGAAAAACGTGATGATGGGAAACTGTAAAAACTGCAGAATTCAGAATATAAAAATGCCTTCCCCTTCCCGTTTTTCCTTCAATGATAAGAGTACCAATGGATGTCAGAGAGAAGCTGTTATCCTTTCAAAGCTAATTTGACAGTGTGTATACTGGTTGTGCCCTTACTAGAGCTATATGAAATATTGGTTTAGTTTAGTTAAAACTCTCAAGCCATTGAAGAATAGCATTGGGCATGCCTTATAATGCAGTGCCCTTGACTGCCCTCATCCACAGTTTGGTTAGACTGACGATAGGATTCTGGTAACGCTATTTTACTATCATCGTTGGGCTGTAAAATCAGACTATTTGCTGTTAAGTTTTGGGTGATGTAAATTTCAAGGGTCCAAATGTTTAAAAGCCATAATACCAGCAATATGACATTCTGTCTGGTGCTTCATTTAATATGTATCTTGTATATCATTTGATTCTTGCTCATTTACAACTTATATGCCAGTTGAATGAATTTTAATTTGTTGAGGTTTATATGTAGCTATTAACTTTAGGTATATGCTGACAAAGTAATTAGAAGTTGAATTTTAAATTGTTTTCTAAATCTAGTATGTAACTTTACTTGTATACAACAAAATATAAAGTTCCAAGTTCATTTTTTGTAAACCCCTTAAAAGGGGGACTTGAGTTAATTTTAGACAAAAGTAAATTTAATATGAGATCTGAATAGTCTAGAAGCCTGTAAACTACCTTATTTCCCAGAATGTGAAAAAGTGTCTCAAGTTACTTAGGGCCATTGTTAATATTATCTACTGTTTGGTTATAGAGTTATATAAAATATTTAAGAATCCAAGGCAGTTCTGGAATTTAAAGCTACTCATACTCATAATGCCAAGTTATCTCAGCAAGTAAAGCATGAGATTCTTACTCCCAGGGTCATGGAGGTTTATATTCTACATTTAACACAAACTTTAATTTGAGGCTGGAGATGTGACTCCAGTAGTAGAGTACCTGTCTAGCAAAGTGCAAGCTTAAGTTTTGTTACTTATAAAGTCAGGATTTAAACAAGATGACTCTGAGGTCTGTGATTATTTGACTGGCTAAGGGAGGTTCCAGCTTCTAGTCCTTCTTGAGCTATGTCTTTCCTTAATCTCTAAAAGCTTTTGTTTTGATTTTCTAGTTTCTAAATTTCCTAGAACTGTATTAATTAAATAAATTTACATTAATAAACTTTGTTAAAAGTGAAAACATTTCAGTTACACTCACAAAATTTAGAAGGAATTGGTTTAAAATATTTGTGTTGACGACATGAAAGCTTTGATTTTGAAAAGGTTGTAGGTGCAAATAATTTTATGAAGTCAAATGAGTTTTGAAGATCTAAAGCATATTTTAGAGTTGAAGTCTTAACAGCCACTTGAGGGCATTTTGAGGCAGGGAGTTACATGCTCATAGAGAAGATTTGCTCACTTGAAACTTTGTTAGGGTTCATGTAGTAAATTAAGTTTTCTTAGGAAGAATGCTTTTTTTTTTTTTTTGCTGGTCGTGGGGCCTGAGCTCTGGGCCTGGGCGCTGTCCCTCAGTGCTTCAGCTCAAGGCTAGCGTTCTGCTACTTGAGCCACAGCACCACTTCCTGCTTTTTCTGCTTATGTGGTGCTGAGGAATCAAACCCAGGGCCTCATGCATGCAAGGCAAGCACTCTACCACTGAGCCACCTTCCCAGCCCCAGGAAGAATGCATTTTTAAAGAGAAAACTATCTTTGTGGAAGAAACAAAGATTTTAAAAAATCATTTTTTGATGTTGGGCCTAAGGCTTGGGTACTATCCCATGAACCTTTTTGCACAAGACTAGCACTTTACTATTTGAGCCACAGCTCCACGTTGGCTTTTTTTATGGTTAATCAGAGGTAAGTCGCAGACTCTTGCCCAGGTGGGCTTTGAACTGTGATCCTCACATCTCAGCCTGCTGAATAGCTAGGATCACAGGCATAAGCCACTGGCTTGTTTTTTTTTTTTTTTTTGGGTCCAGTTGTGGGGCCGGAACTCTGGGCCTGGGCACTGTCCCTCAGCCCTTCAGCTCAAGGCTAGCGCTCTACCACTTGAGCCACAGCGCCACTTCCGGCTTTTTTCTTTTTGCTTATGTGGTGCTGAGGAATCGAACCCAGTGCCTCAGGCATGCAAGGCAAGCACTCTACCACTGAGCCACCTTCCCAGCCCCACTGGCTTGTTTTTGTTCCTGCCTCCAAGTGGGCCTGGAACTTGGAGTCTTCCTACCTCAGCCTCCTAGATGCTGGGATTACAGACATGTATCGCTGTTCCTGGCCTCAAGCATGCATTCAGTAAGTGGTCTTAATTGATTATTTTAATGTCTAAACATTGGCAATGTGTGAAATGTTGGTTACCTATGACACTATAGAAACATTAAAATCCCTTAATAATTTGTATTCATTTAATGGGTCTTCTAATGAACTTTTATGTACCTCTTATAGTTACTATTACATATTGTAAGTAGATATTTGGAATTCCAGGGTCAGAGAGTAATCTCTTTAGACTTTCTGTGTGTGTGTGTGTGTGTGTGTGTGTGTGTGTGTGTGTGTGTGTGTGTGTGTGTGTGTGTGTGTGTGTGTGTGTGTGTGTGTGTGTGTGTGTGTGTGTGTGTTTACCTAGGCTTCAACTTGGAGCCTTGAGATTTTGCTTGGCTTTTTCACTCATGGCTTGTGCTCTGAGACATGCCTTCAGGCCAGCATTTTACTGGTTAATTGTAGATAAGTCTTTGGACTTTTGTGCAAGGCTAGCTTTGAAGCCATATCCTCAGATCTCAGCCTTCTGAATGGCTAGAATTGCAGGTGAGCCACTAGTGCCTGACTCTACCCCCAAAATGAGAAATATACCATATTGTTGTTTGGACCTGATTATGAAGAAAAGAATTTCTCTAGCTTTTCACTGCTCTCTGTGTGTGTGTGTGTGTGTGTGTGTGTGTGTGTGTGTGTGTGTGTGTGTGTGTGTGTGTGTGTGTGTGTGTGTGTGTGTGTGTGTGTGTGTGTGTGTGTGTGCGCGCGCGCGCGTGAGCGCGCTGGTACTGGGGTTTGAGCTCAAAAACTTGGGCTCTGTCCCTTAGCTTTTTCACTCCAGGCTGGCATTCTACTTCTTAAGTTACAGTTTCATTCCCAGCTTTTGCTGGTTAATTGGAGATACGAGTCTTAAGGAATTTTCCTGCCCAGACTGCCTTCAAACTTGGATCTTCAGCCTCCTGAGCCAATGGCACCCAGATTACTTGCTTTTTGATGAGGATTTAAAAATAGCAAATTTCATCATTAAAGTGTGAAGATTTTATTGCTTTGTTTTCATGGTAATATACTAATGTAAGTTTGCTCTGTCTACATTGTAATTCTACTTAGGAGTCCTTAAAATTATTAAAGAGCCAGGTACTGGCTATTCAGGAGACTGAGATCTGAGGATTGAAGTTTGAAGCCTGTCCAGGGCTGAAAAGTCCATGAGATTGTTAACTCAACTTAACCAGCAAAAAAAGTCAGAAGTGGAGGTGTGGTTCAAATGATAAAGAACGTAAACTTTGTGCAAAAACTCAAGTGAAAGCATGAAGCTTTAAGTTCAAGCCCCACAGCCAGCATATATACAAATAATAATAATAGTAGTAGTAGTAATAATAATAATAATAATACTGAAAGGACTGGGAATGTGGTTTAGTGGTAGAATGCTTGCCTACCATGCATAAAGCCTTGGGGTTGTTCCTCAGCACCACATAAACAGAAAAAGCCAGAGGTGGCGCGGTGGTTCAAGTGGTAGTAGAGTGCCAGCCTGGAGCAAAAGAAGCTCAGGGACAGTGCCCAGGTCCTGAGTTCAAACCCTAGTATTAGCAAAAAAAAAAAAAAGTACTAAAAAATTCTACACTATCATCCATATCTATATATTTGTGTGTATGTATATATGCTTATTTATTTTGTGCTGGCCCTGGGGCTTGAACTCAGGGCCTAGGTGCTGTCCCTGAGCTGCTTTACTTAAGGCTAGCACTCTACTACTTGAGCCACTTCCGTCACAGCTCCACTTCCAGCTATTTCTGTGTATGTGGTACTGAGGAATGGAACCCAGGGCTTCATGCCTGCTAGGCAAGCACTCTACCACTAAGCCACATGCCCAGCTCTGTTTGGGGTTTGGTAGTTATTTGGAGATAATATTCTGGTGGACTTTCTTGCACAGACTGACTT